TGCTGCGGGCGAGGCGGGCGCGGGGGAGGGCGGAGGCTCGGGGGGCTCCGCGCCGCCGCTGCTGCTGCGGGCTGCTGCAGCAGCAGCAATTGCTGCTGCTTCGGAAGCAGTGTTCTGGTAAGTTGAGACGCGAACCACGCGCACTGGAAGCTCCAGAGACACAATCAAAAGAGAGTCGTTTTCGTCAATTGCTGCTGCTGCTTCCTGCGCAGACAGCTGCCGCTCCACGCCCGCGCCCGCAGACCCGCACTCCAAACCGCTCTTCTCCTGCGCAAACCCTAAACCCTAAACCCTAAACCCTCAACCCGAAACCCGAAAAGCCCTGCAGCGTGTCTTGTGTTCGGTGCTGACGCGGGGTGCACCCACAGAAAACCCTCGTGCGCGGAGGAGGAACCTAACAATGACCGAACCCTAAACCCTAAACCCTAAACCCTAAACCCTACTTGAGTGTTGGGGGTTATTTCGGTGGGCAAGTCGCAGGAGGTTTTGCCGCGGATGTAACCATTGTCATCTTCTACAAGCATTTCTACTCCCGTGGGCGTCAGCTCCCGATTCCCTTCTATCTCCTCCCACCTAAACCACAAATTAGGGTTTAGGCTTTAGGGCCTAAGGTCCAAAACTTGGGGCTGTTTAGACCAGCAGAAAGACCAGCGGACACCCAGCCCCACTCCCGTGCACGCTAGAACTTCAAGAAGACCTCCACCTCCAGTCACCCTAAACCCTAAACCCTAAACCCTAAACCCTACCGGACGATTTCATTTCTGTCGTTTAAAACGACATATTTATAAGCCACCTTCTTGTTGAGAGGCAGCAGCGCCGGCTTTTTGCTAAACCACGCGGGCACCACATCTTCGTTCGTCACCAACTCGTGGCACCGAGACACCTGCGCAAACCCTGAATTAGGGTTTAGGGTTTAGGGTTTAGGGTTTACTCAGTTTAGGGGGTAACCGGGGTTCAGAGACTGGCCGAAGACTCAGGAAAGGAAACCCCAAACCCTACGGCCTCCGGGCCGCAGCAACACTGGCCGGAAAAGGGCTTAGGGTTTAGGGTTTAGGGTTTAGGGTTTACCTGCCAGTTTCCCAGCTGGGACTCCGAACCGACAACCGCCACCTTTTCCCCAAACTCGGTGGGGATAACAACGCGAAAGAAAGTCCTCGTGTAGAGGGCCCTCATCTTGCTAGGGTTTAGGGTTTAGGGTTTAGGGTTTAGGCTCTAGGGTTTAGGGTTGAGGGAGGGTTTAGGGTTCTGGGTGCACACACACTCCAACCCAAACCTAACCCCACATTTCCTCTTCACCCTCACCCTGCAGCAAACCACCCAAAAAACAAACCCTGAACCCTAAACCCTCAAAACCCCAAACCCTCGCAAACCCTAAACCCTAAATTTCAGTCTCTCCGCCCCCAATCCCAAACCCCAGGGGCCCCCCAGCGGCCCCCTCCTAAGTTCCCACACATCAGAGGGGCCCCCTCGTGTGCGGCTACAGCTGCTGCAGCAGCTGCAGCAC